GTGCCCCAATAGGGTATTCCAGTGTGCATGTGTATGTGTTCTGTTTTACTGTTTAAGAATCTGGCCTCTGAGAAGAAAAGTTATGCTAAGACTGAAGTAGTTTATTTAATTCTACTCCAATATACGAAGCAAACAAAGTAGAATGAAAGAGTTACTGCCCACAGGGGCTTGGTGTAATTTTTATATGTCCAGCCTCTTTTGTAGGTTGGACACTGTGCCTTTTGTTGTTGTTGCTGTTGTTGTTATTGCTGATCCCTGGACTCAGAATACAGTTGCTGAGCTCCTTGTTACCGTGCAGAGGAAACCAAGCTTGTTGGGAGAATCTCCTAGCTGGGTACTGAACATTTGAACCACAGGGATGGAATGAGTCAGAATTCTTCCTTACTAGTTGCTTTCAGTATAGTCCTAAATTCCATGAGTTTTTTTTCTTGGTCCAAAATTCTCATCCTTTATTTAAAAAAAAAGTCCATATGTTGATTGCTTGTGATAAATTATCTAGAATAAATAATCTATTCCTCCACTCCACAAAGCCAGAATTCAGATCATGATTTTTATTTTCCATTCATCCTCTTTCTATGGAACTAATTTTAATAAATGCAAGTAGCATGGCATTTGGTTTTTGGGTCCGGTCGTGGGGCCTGAACTCTGGGCCTGGGCGCTGTCCCTCAGTTCTTCAGCTCAAGGCTAGTGCTCTACCACTTGAGCCACAGCACCACTTCCGGCTTTTTTCTTTTTGCTTATGTGGTGCTGAGGAATCGAACCCAGGGCCTCATGCATGCAAGGCAAGCACTCTACCACTGAGCCACCTTCCCAGTCCCCCTAGCATGGCATTTGGGTCATACTCTTCCACTAAGCCTTTTTTAAACTATCATCTTGGTCGCTTTCAACTCACTTAGGAAGACAAAAATCATACTATCACAAGCTCAGGAAGAGGAAAAGAAGGCCACATTGAGTTTGCACAAGCATAAAACTCGAGCCCAGGCCTGACAGCTGGCCACACACAACTTAACTTTCCCCTGGTTCCTCTTCTTTAACTTTCACCTAGAGACATAGCCTTGAAATAAACTGGGTACCATAACCAGTATCCCAACCACATGCCACTCTCTATTTCCTAGTAACTCAGGTAAGGGCCTACACAAGGTTTGTTTTTAGTTTTTGTCTCTTCTTTCTCCATAAAAGATATATTCCTGGCAGGTGCACATCTGTAATCCTCACATCTATAATCCTAGCTACTCAGGAGGCTGAGCTCTGAGGATCATGGTTGGAAGCCCGCCCGGGCAGGAAAGTCTGTGAGGCTCTTATCTCAATTAAAACTGAAAGTGCTAGAGCCCTGGCCTTGAGTAAAAAGCTCAGGGTAATACCCAGGCCCTGAATTCAAGATCCAGGACTAGCACCAAAACAACAAAACCAGACAGGGGAAGTGGGGTGGAAATTCCTCACTTTCCTCTTTCATAGGTATTATTAAGGTCAAAGGAGGTCTGTAAAAGAGCCCCAAGAAAGGTCCGTGTATGTAAGTGAAATGAGCTCCCTTCCCATAGCGTAGTACACTCCTTCCCCTCTCCACAGCTTAGCACGCTTCCTTCCTAGGCAACACTAGGCCCATTTAGTAACGGCAGTAAATAATCAGCCTCAAATCCCCTTTACCTTGGGATGGCACTTCTCTGGGGCAGCTACCACAATATAAGGCAACAAGAGCCCCTTAGAGTGACCTTCAGGTCTGGGCAGTTGCAGGACCCCTTATCTACTATTTGGACAGCAGCCATAAATCCTAGTCCACCATGATGAAGCCCTGGCCCCAACATCCACACCAGGATCTCTGCCTTCTAGCCCCTCCTAAACCTCCTAGGTTACATAGGTCACCTCAGACAATAGCCAGCGCTTCTTCTCACTTCTCCCTTGTGAGAAGGGATCTTACCAGCTCCTTTCCTGACAATAAACCTTTCTTTGTTCTCTGTACCTAGATGTCTGCATGGTTCTCTGGCAAAGTCTAATTTACCCTATCAGTTATTATTATTACTATTATTATTATCATGGAAAGCAGAATAATGACCCCTAGAGACATCCATATCCTAATCCCCAGATCTCATGGATATCTTAGGCTACATGGAAAAGGACAGCAAAGTCTGTTTATGGAAGGAAAGTTATTAATGTTGAAATAAGCAGAACATCTGGATCATTTGAGTAGGTCCATTGTAATCACCAGGGTTCTCAAATGAGGGAGAGGAAAGCAGAAAAATGGTGTCAGAGTGAAGAGATGTGATTGATTGGTGGAAGATTCAACCAATCATGGCTGACTCTGAAGCTGGAAGGGGTCAGGAGCCAAGGAATGTAGCACCTCTAGAAGCTGCAAAAGCCAAGAAAGTGAATTCTCCCCTATAGCTCAGAAAGAAATTCACCCCTGCCAATAAGCTATGTTAAGCCTAGTGAAACCCATTTGGGGTCTTCAGAACTTTAATATAAACATGTGTTGTTTTAAGACCTCTGGCTTTTGTGGAGATTTGATACACAGCCATCGGAAACACAATTACTAAACTGACAAGATCTAAATGGATGATGAGCGGAATACAATGAGCGGTCCTGAGTATCTGCCTTGTTGGTCAACAAAGCACATTTGCTAAGAGAAAGACAGCCAGACAGCAGGAGTGTAGTAACCAACCAGAGAGTGGCATAGATCAAAATGGAACTGTCCCCCAATGTTGTCCCATCTGTTCATAAAACACTCCACTCTGTCACCAAGGTGGGGGGACCTAACATCCTCTCCTCTCATACTGTCCCCGACACCACACACACACACACACACACACACACACACACACACACACACACACACACACACACACACACACACACACACACACACACACACACACACACACACACACACACACACACACACACACACACACACACACACACACACACACACTGGAGAAATGTCCTTGCCTCTCTGGGTTCCCCTCTACTATTTCAATCTACTCTCCTCAACTAATTCCCTAGCAGCAAAGATTGGAATTCTATTATCTGCCTTAGGCGAATTCAATCTCTAGGAGCACCTCTGACTGCAGGCTCAAAGTTCACAATCAGGAGAGAGTAAGTAAGCAAATGTAGCCTGATTTTGTTCTTGCTGGGAGATATTATTGCTTCTCATCAGAGGGCCTTCAGGAACAGAGGTGAAACAAATGCCTGGTTTTAAATTTATTTTCCTCTGGCTGTACATTAACATTTTACTTCAATCTTCACCCAAAGCCTGCTCAAGATGGAAAGCTTAAGGGTTTCCAAGGTTGGATAAGAGCCAAACTGACTTTTGTCCATGTCTCCAGGCCCCATCTCTCCCCCACCTCTAGGAGCCTTCTTGTGAAATGAGAGCCTGCCTTGGTGAGACCTGGTTCCGGCAGCTGTGCAGACACCCAGTGCCCCTGCCAGGCCTGCGTGGCTCAGGCCTGATCAATTCAACTTCCACAGGAGTGGCCACTCTGACCCACATCCTGGAACAATTTCTTTTGCAAATCAGCGAGTTTTAAGCAAACAAGGACATATTTCAGGACACTGAACTATGCAATTAGCTGAGGGTAAATTTGGCAAAGCATCTGGTCTGTTCACCAAAATGGAAAGAGGGGGGGAAAGTGTATATTTTTAAATTAAACATTAACTTTGTAAGTTAATTCTGTGCAAATCTACTTGAATGACACAGAGACACTGAATCTATACAAGAAGATGGGGAGAGCAGGATTGGTAGGACTGCGTGGAGTATCACCCACTTACTGGGCAGATGCTGACATGAAGATAAATCTCATTTCATAATGCCAAAGGATGAGAACAAATAACAAATCTGTTGGCATGTCCAAAGTCAACCTTAGCAGGTTTCTGTATTTGCTCACTAAGAGCATTAAACTGTGAAAAGTGTAACTGGGTTAAAAAAATTAAAAAACACTGTCTGAGCAGAGTACCAGGTGGCTTAGATCTGAAAACTGAAGTTGGAAACCAACCAACCAACTTTTCTTTCCAATTAACTCCCAAAAAGTCAGAAGTGGAGCTATGGCTCAAGTGGTAAAATACTAGCTAAAGGACAGCACCCAGAGGCCCTGAGATCAAGCTCTAGTACCTAGTACTAGTACCAAGCTCTAGTCTTTGCCTGACCTTTTGGCTGTTCAAACACATATCTTACATAAAAGCTTTGATCATTCTGCTCTTCTGTCAAGGTCAAAAGCTCAGACTAGGAAGAAATAGGACAATGGGGAGAAAATGGTGGCAGAATGTTCGCTATTAGGCCCTTCTAGCTACTTCCTTTTCATGCTTGTATATGTTGAACTACTGTCCTTTCCCCCTGAGAATAACAAAAGTCAATTTGAAATATATGCAAATACATGGAAAAGCAGGAAAGTCAGGGAAGCAGGTTTTCATGTGGCATCAGCAACATCATTTTCCATCCTTCCCAGCAACAAGCAGCTTCTGGTATAATAGAAATTATGAATCAGCTAGGAAAACTAGGATGGTCTATCTCCTTTCATGTTTCCTTCTGCTTGTCTGAGGAGTTCTTACATAGTTCTCCACCAGCTGGCTTTGTGGTATGACTATCCCTTTTGGTCAAAGCCAAACTATTCCAAACAAGATGAGGAACAAGAGTCAAAGGACAAGTTCAGTAGTAAGGACTACAGAATAGCAGAAATGAAATCCAACAAAGGTGTCACACAAATGTTGTAAAGTCTTGGAGTTCATTTCACTTAGCATCATCTTATATGGTCATATGTACATAGCTATTGAGCTATTCTGCTCATCTGCTAAGATTATCCTAGACATATACTAATTATTGCAAATAAGGGAAACCATGGAACCTATGTTTCTTTGGGTCTGGCTTACTTCATTTAATATTATTTTTTCCACGTCTTTCCATTGTCATTCTTTCTGATAGACTCCAAGAGATGAGGTTTTTCTTTGTTGTTTTTAATGTACTATGTGATTTTTTTTGTTTCTTTTGTATGTTCTTCCCTATGGTATATTCTCTGTTGTCACTGTATCTGATTTTGGTGCGCTGATATTGCATACATGTTTATTTGAATTAGGGAAGGAAAGGGGAAACAACAAAGTGGTGAGACAAAGGACAAGGGGGAACCAATGCAACAGTGACACTCACAATATGTTGGAAACAATCTGTACAACTTGGGGAGGGATGGGGGGAAGGGAAAGTAGGAGAAAATTGAGAAAACAAGGTTGAAAAGAAATGTACTCATTTCCTTATGTAACTGAAACGCTCTGTACATCACCTTGACAATAAAAAAAAGAAAAAGAAGAAGAAGAAGTTGGAAAGTGCCAGACACCAGTGGCTCACGCCTGTAATCCTAGCTACTCAGGAGACTGAGATCTGAGGATCACAGTTCAAAGCCAGCTTGGGCAAGGAAAGTCTGTGAGACTCTGATTTCCAGTTAATCACTAAATTCCAGAAGTAGAACTGTGGCTCAAGAGGTAGAGCGCTTGCCTTGAGCTGAAAAGTTCAGGGACAGTGCCCAGGCCCAGAATTCAAGCCCCATGACCAACAGAAAAAACAACAACAACAACAAAAACTTTTAAAGTATGAATACATGAGGTAAAGTATCTCAGAGACCCAATCTGAAAAAAAAAGTGTGTGTGTGTGTGTGTGTGTGTGTGTGTGTGTGTGTGTGTGCTCACGTACGCGCATGCCAGTCCTGGGGCTTGAACTTAGAACCTACACATTGTCCTTGAACTTTTTCACACAAGGCTAGCCCTCTACCACTTGAGCCACAACTCTACTTCTGCCTTTTTGGTGGTTAACTAGAGATAAGAGTCTCATGAACTTTCCTGCCCGGGCTGGCTTCAAGCTGGGATCCTCCAATCTCAGCTTCTCAAGTAGATATGAACCACTGGTGTGCAGCTTCTTAGTCAGCAGAACTTTAAAGAGAAAAGATAGAGCTTGGCATAGTGGTTCATACTTGTAATCCCAGCTACATGGGAGGGGTGGTTAGGAGGCTTGGTCTGAGGCTAATCTAGGGGGGAAAGCACAAGCTTCTGTCTTAAAAAAAAAAAGAAGCCGGGCGCTGGTGGCTCACGCCTGTAATCCTAGCTACTCAGGAGGCTGAGATCTGAGGATCGTGGTTCAAAGCCAGCCCGGGCAGGAGAGACCATGAGACTCCTATCTCCAATAAACCACCGGAAAACCGGAAGTGGCGCTGTAGCTCAAGTGGTAGAGCGCTCGCCTTGAGCTGAAGAGCTGAGGGACAGCGCCCAGGCCCAGAGTTCAAGCCCCACGACCGACAAAAAAAAAAAAAAAAAAAAAAAAAAAAAAAAAGAAGAAGAAGAAGAAAATGAAGGATTTGCAATATGACTCAAGTGGCAGAACACCCGATTAGCCAGCCTAAGGCCCTGCATAGAAACCCCAATATTGACAAAAATAGAATGAAGAGAGGGAGGAACAGTAAAAGAGAAGAAATGAAGATGAGAAGAAAGACAAAGGGAAAAGGGGAGGAAGGAAGACCTTGGAGAGTGGAGAAACAAAACTGGAACAAGTAGACACCTAGTACCATTATGGGAGTTAGTTTCTGGATCCACTTGATTCTTTTAAATGTAAATTTATTTCACGTAAACAAAATTTAAAATTCATTTCCTCCCGCACACTAACTACATCTCAAGTCAAGTACCCCTTGTGGCTGCTGGGAGCTACTACATGGGATTTTACCTTTGCTGAAAGCTATGTTGGATGGCCAAGACAGTATGAAGAGACACAGAGGAAAGAAGCCCTTCAAATTAAGTTTCTTAAGCTTGGGAAAGAAAAGGGAGCGGAGTGATTTTTAGACTTTAAAACTATGGTAACTGGCATGTGTGGTGGTACATATCTATCATCTCAGTACTCTACAGGCTAAGGCATGAGGATCTGTGTGTGTGTGTGTGTGTGTGTGTGTGTGTGTGTGAGAGAGAGAGAGAGAGAGAGAGAGAGAGAGAGAGAGAGAGAGAGAGAGAGAGAGAGAGAGATGGGGCTTGAACTCTGGTCCTGGGTGCTGTCCCTTAGCTCTTTAGCTCAAAGTGAACGTTCTACCACTTGAGCCACAGCGCCACCTCTGGTTTTCTGGTGGTTAATTGGAGATAAGAGTCTCATGGACTTTCCTGCCTGGGCTGGCTTTGAACCTCAATCCTTAGATCTCAGTCTCCTGAGTAGCTAGGATTTCAGGCGTGAGCCACCAGTGCTCAATTGGGCATGAGGATCTTGAGCACCAGGACAAGGGTTATAGGGCCAAGACTCTGTCTCAAAATATTAGAACAAAAGATATATGATTATTGCTGAGTGAGCTCCAACTGTTTTCCACTTGCTAAAAGAACTTAAAGCAGGAAGCTTGTAGGTCGTGGGAAATGACTGGACACTAGAATGGAAAGCAACACGGTAGAGGTAGTACATTTACACCTAGGATTCAGTAGAAGGGATTCACTGGAACCACCTTGGCCCTAATTATCAAGTTGCTATGATCTGTTCAACTCCTGAGTATAGATTATACACGCATGAATCCCAGAGGCTTCTGTGAACTTTGTTAAAAAGATATTCATCATCCCTACCACAGTCTCAGATCCTAACCTCAGAATCTAGTCATTTGTGCTTCAACTCCCATACTCTGTTTCCAAAAGGAATTAGAAAAGCTCCCTCCATTGTCAGTGACAAGCTGCATAACCTTGTATTTGCAGACTAAAGCAGCATGGCGCATAGAAAGAACCAGGGCTTTGGAATCAGAGTCCTGGATTTAGCTTCCTCCTATGAGCTGAGCAGTCTTGGGGGAGCCATTTTACCTTTGTTATTACACATAAATCTTTTGATTTACAAGTAACACTTTCTTCAGAGAAACTGAAAATGGATGGGTTTCAGACTTGGAAATGGAAGGCATCTGCTCTTCATATATAAGCAATCTATATTTTAGGATCTTACAATATTCTTCTGATACCCATTTGTTTATTATTCTCTTTTGGTGGCAACTGACAAAATCCACTCCAGGCATTGGTGACTCATGTCTATAATCCTAGCTACTCAGGAAGCTGAGATCTGGAATCGAGATTCAAAGTCAGCCCAGGAAGACAAATCCTTGGGTCTCTTACCTGCAAACAACCATCAAAAAGCCAGAAGTGCAGGTGTGGCTCAAGCAGTAGAGCTTGGAGTTCTAGCCTCAGTACTGTCATAAAAAAGCAAATCCAAACCCAAACTAATATAAGTAAATAGGATATAATTAAATAAGAAGCCTGTAGTCAAATTTAAGAATGGTTGAATGTAGAGGTTCTTTCTCAGCTGGGCATGGTAGTATGAGCCTGTAATCCAAGCTACCTGGGAAGCAGAGGTAGGAGGATCTTGAGGTTGAGGCCAATCCTTACTAAGTTAGCCAGAAATCCTATCCTGAAGACAAAAATACAAACAAAAGGGCTGGGAGCATGTTCATGTGTAAATGCTGGATTTAATCCCCAGTGATGGGTGAGGAGGAACCCAACAAGAACACAATGCTGCTATCTGTCTACCTTTCAGATAAACCTGCTCTACAGAGTAACTTGGCGACTAAGACATAAAGTGACAACTTCCTAGAGAAAAGACTACATCTGGAAAGTTTCTGAATGACTCAGTGACTGCTTATGGCTGAATGTGACCAAGATGCTATGTCCTGATTCGCCACAGCTGGATACCTATTTGTCCTTTTGACTAAGCATAGACTGTATAAAATGAAGTACCCCAAAAGAGAGGGGCAAGATGCTGTTAGAGAATAACATGTTCTCTGTAATTTTATGGGGATGGAATACTTTTCTCACAGGACTATTAGTAAATCACCTGATACACTGCTCAAATGATAGCAGTACAGATTTTGCCAAACAGTAATTTAATATATTATTCCGGGAAAGTAGTGGCTTTCAAATGTGTCCATTTGGCTAAGTCGAACTACATTTCCCAGAATTCCCTTTCCTGCATGTTTCTGCATAGGCTATGCCAAAAGAGCTTTTTGTGTGAGATTTGAAAAATGGACTAAAGGCAGCAGCTTTTTTGTACCTTACAAACATGGTCATTTATCTGATAGTTCTCCTCACTTATACGGGACAACAGTCAAGCTTACAACAGTTGCACCTTGTTCTGGATTCTTCTCAGCTTTGTCAGCTTCCCCAACAGATGTGTGTTTGCTTCTGTGTCAGGGAGACCAAGCTTCTGTAAAGAACATTCACACCATCCATCAGGGGCAAGAATCAACACTGGCGCTGATCTGCCCTTTCTCTTGGCTTGTACCTCGAGCTTGTGGTTGCAGCTTGACCTTATTCTCCTTCCCTTTCTAACCACCTTCCCTGAGGCCTTCAAACCCCAGCATTAGATACAAAGACAACCTTACAGACACTCCTTCACCAGCCCCCACAATTCTGAAAAGTCAAATCCTTTTCCCTGTGTCTTTTTCTATGTCTGTCTCTCTGTGTCTGTATCTGTGACTCTCCATCTCTTTGTCTTTGTCTCTGGTTCTCTCTGTCTGTCTCTGTCTCTGTCTCTCTCTCTCTCACACACACACACACACACACGCATGTGCGTGCGCACACACACATACACACACACACACACACACACGGAGCTATCTGTAAATTGTTCTGCATTTCGCTTTGGACCCTGACTGATAAAACCAGAGCCCAATTTTTCTGCACTTCCCTTTGTGAGTTTCCTTTGGTAGGGGGAAATTGTTTCAAGGGAAGTAAAATTTAGATAAAATTTAGTGCTATAGCTAACTTGTAAGGTAACCTTCACAAACTAATAATTTTTCAAAGACTCAAACCTCACAGCACTAACCATAGTTTGCCCTCTCTGTGATAGGCACAGTAAGTGAAATATACAGGACTGTCCTCTTCTATTACTAGTGATCCACGACTGGCTCACACCTGCCCCACGTCAGCAGGAATGCCCCCCCACACACTACAAGATTCTTGGAAAGGGAAGTTTGACTGCATACATCAAGCAGAAGCCCATTTCAGTGTGCCTACATACCAGGTTAACACCAAGGAGTGTGGTGTTCACATGCACAAATTTCTCGCCTTGTACCTTTCTACGCCCAAAGACTTGGGTGGGTCCCCAGAACAGGGCTTTCCAGAACAGAGCTCTCTGGACTTCCTCATTCCTGCCCTCTCTCTACAGGAAGCCACAAGCAGTACATGCTGCTCCCTTCTCTGAGCTGAAGAGAACTCATAACAGGCAATCCTGGCTAAGCAAGGAAGAATTCCTATTCTGTCACTTAAGCTGAGACAAAACATGAGTTCAATTTGGGGCTTCATCAAGGTGTCTCTCAAGGTAGGAAGTTCACTGGCTTTTTGATCTTGCTCCCAGCTCTGTCTACGAATCTCTCTTCCTTGGACCTGCTCACTTGAAGTTCTACTACTAGTGTCACTTATCTGGGGCCCAACTATGTGAGATAGTTTAATCATATTTTGCCTGATAGCTGTAAGCAGAGATCCTTCCAGTAAGAGGTAGGAATTTTAATGGCAGTTTGGTGGGGCTACTGGGGGCTCCTAAGACCCAGGCAATAGGGCAGAAGAGCCCTGAAGAAAGAGAATGATATGGTGACAGTTCTAGGAAATGCCCTTACAGGAACTTTGCAACTGCTGCAATGGGGGAAGGGAAGGTGCATAGGTCAGGAGACCCCTCAAGGTGAGAAAGGAACATAACAGAATGCAAGTAGGCCCTGCACTTTCCTGTTGCAGCTTGGCTTAAGACCTCATCTGACTGTAGTTCAGTCACTTCATGCATGAAGTCGGGGGACCTTGTCAAAGTTTTTGGTAAAGATAGACAAGATGCTTGACCTCACATCTCATTCCAATCACAATCTATGTTGACCTCGTTCTCACAGCTCTTGGCTCAAGAACAGGCCTGTATCTCTGCCTTCTCTCTTTTGGGGTTTCTATGGTGCCAAGGACATTTATGGGATCCCCCTTAGCTCACATATGTGGGGGAACTAAAGCACTATTGTAAGCCTCAAAAATGAGTTATGGGAGCTGATGGTTAAATGTCTCTTCTGGTTGATCATCAGGACAATCCTGAGAAATTGTTCCACACTCCTCAAAAGTCCTGAGTAAGGATGATGCTCCAACTGGAGCCTCAGGAATGGCTGCAAAAATACTTTTTATAACAACTTTTCTTCCCTCTCTGCCCCCCCAGTCACTCAGCATTGCTCCCTGGAATCTCCTAAATGAACTCCAAAATAACCAAGCTCTATCTAGTCCCTTATCTAGGCCTCAGCTGCCAAGGACAGCTAGAATAGGAAAAGTAACATTTTTGTATAACTTCAATAGGTCTTAGTAAACCATGAAGCTCAGTCTTTATAGGAAGTTCAGTACCTAGTCTAGCAAGAATTTCAGTTCCTAGCATTTGTGAAAAATTCATCAAGGCACCTGCTTTTCACGCCTGTAATCCTAGCTACTCAGCAGGCTGAGATCTGAGGATCAGGGTTCCAAGCCAGCCCGGGCGGGAAAATGTATGGGGCTCTCATCTCAAAGCAAGCACCAAAAAGCCAAAAGCCAAGCTAAGGCTCAAGTGGCCAAGTGCTAGCTTTGAGCAAAAGAAATCTTTAGGGACAACATGCAGGTGCTGAGTTCAAGCTATAAATCTGGTGTGTGCCCGCACATGCACACACATGCACACGCACACACACGCACATGCATGAACACGCACACACACAAGATATATCAAAAGGCATCCAACACTTGGCAAATTTCCTTTTGTTTGTGCCCCAGACATCACCCAGCTACTCTAGATCAATCCCTTTGGTGTCTTGCTCATCTTTGTTCTACTTCATTTATTAGGTGAATGCATTTAGCTTCTCTGGCATGCCTGGGCATATGCACACGCACGCATACACAGTTGTTCTGACTAAGCATAGCTTTAATTGGAGATGGTGCTGCTAGCAGTGGTGGGCTAAGCAACCCCATCTTCAACTATTGCCCAATTTGGTTTCCAGAGCATAAATACAGCCCCTGGCATGCATGGTGTCTACATAGAATCCATAGCACACTTTTCAAATCATAACCTGCAAGGGAAAAAAGGGTCTGTTTTGCCCCATACATTACAGTGTGGATAAACCTGCTATAATGTGTGACCCATTTGCAGCTCAGTAGCATGCCAAACCACCCCAGTCAGGATAGCTGTGGAACCTGCAGGGAGTGACCAGGACTCTGCCACCGTGGGAGATCCTGAGAACACTGAGGAGCATTTGGGGAGCATGGGAAGGGGGGCTCCCTCTCCCAGCTTCTAATGAGCGCCAGCACTTGCTTGACATTGCCCTGTCTGCTCATTCGTACAGTTTCCAATGGCCTCCCTGCCCCCATCTAGGCATTCCACAACGCAGCGGCACTGGGGCGCACAGCCACCACTGTATTATTGCTTTGTTCCCGATTTAATCAGTGGATGTCCCTAGCTGTCCCTCAAAGCACCAAAGCCAGCCAGCTGCAGGCCCAGCTGTCAGAGAGTCCCGACACTAGCATTCAAGTGGCCACAAGGGAGCCCATCCAGTGCCCAGAGAGAGCCACTGTCTGCTTTTCTCCTGCTCACAATTGGCAGGCTCGAGGGGAGGAAACAGAGCTGTGGGCTTGGCAGCGGGGCAGGAGGCTCTTGGTAACAGCTTGCCTTCCTGTTTATATGGGATCTGGCAAAACTGTTAATTTCTCTCTCACAGAAGTGACAAATGGGAAACCCAGGACCACCAAGGAACACAGCCTAGAAAAGAGCCCAGGTGAGCAACTTACTGAAGCAAGGCTAGGAGGCTAGAAGTGGGTGGGCAGGGATCCCAGGAAGTTCCCAGGTCCAAGGAAGAGAACATCTGCGCTAGGCTGTCCCTCTAGAAAGATGCACTGGGCCAACTGTGTAGCAAGCTTCTCCACCAAAGCCCCTGGAAACAGGCGCCACAGCTTCTCTCCAATGAAACTGCAAAACACTAATAAAGAATCCTGATTTTCCTTCTGGAAAAACACAGTTTCATACTCTGCAATTCGGAGGCTAATTCCTGAGTAAGCATTCCTTGGGACCTGAGGGGTAACCTCCTGACCTATCAAGACTCAGCAGGTCTGGTCTGCCAAAAACTGGCGATAACCAGAACTAGGCAGCCCCTTTCCTGCTGACCGTAGGCTATGGTCCCAACCTGAAAATACAAGGAAAACACCTGGGGAAAGCCAGGCTTCATTTTTGTTGGTGGTCCTGTGCACTTGAACTTTTTCAAAACTTCCCAAAGTAACTGGGCACAGGTGGCTCATGCCTGTAATCCTACATATGTAGGAGGTTGAGATCTGAGGATTGAGGTTCAAGACCAGCCTGAGCAGGTAAAGTTTATGATCCTCTTGCCTCCAATTAACACCCCCATATACACACCACACACACACACACACACACACACACACACACACACACACACACACACACACACACACACACACACACACACACACACACACACACACACACACACACACACACACACACACACACACACACACACACCCGGAAAGTAGAGTTCTGGCTCAAGTGGTAGAGTGTAGCCTTAAGCAAAAGAGCTCAGGGACAACACCCAGGTCCTGAGTGCAAACCCCAGTACCAATACAAAATTAAACAAACAAACAAAAACTTCCCAAGTGATTAAAATCACTAGAATGAGCATCTAGAGTAAAGAGCTCCTAGAAAGGATCAATGGTTCCTTTTTTTTCCACTATTGTTATTTTCATTTTACATTAAATAAAAGATTCTTTTTGAAAGCCTGTGTTCAGGGCTGAGATGGAGCAAGGAAAGAGATGAGGACAAAAAGAAAACCCCAATCATGGGCAAGTGACCACAGTCCCTGTTTGATAACCAGGGGAAATAGTTCTGAGATGTGGGACTTCCAGTGCTAACACTGGAAAGTTTGTCACCTTGCCAGCCCACGGAGCTTCCTGCAGGCAGGGAAGGAAGCTTTTCCAGCAGTCAGGGCTCCTTATTCAGTTCCTCATTTGCTGCCTTGTGTTTATTTCAACAAAGGCCCTTCACGGCTGACATTTCATGAAGGAATGCTACCATGAGTCCATGGCCTGGAGGGAGCTATAGTATTATTTGTTCTTGAGAGAGAAGCAGCCTCGGTGTGGGTGGCAGAGGAGGCCCCAGGCTGAGTTTGGAGAGAGCATTTTGCAAGACTGTGGACACAGGATTCTGTGGCTGTAAATGCTTCAGAGACAGAGATGTTCTCACCAGATATAGATCTCATTTAAATATCCCTGTGCATACAGTTTTCCTATCAGAGAACTCAGCAGAAAAAATAAAACAGCTATTTTGGAAATTTTGTCTCTCATAGAAGGAAAATCAGGATTTGGGGGGAGAGGGGGGCTTCAGTTTCATAAAGAGGATGTAAAATGAGGATCTGTGGTGAGCCCAGCAGGGCTAGGCTTCTTAAGGAATCAAAGGCTAACAGGCTGCTCCTCCAGAAGCTGACGATGAATGCCCCGCCCCATCCCAGCCTGGCTACCCCAGGTCCCGGCAAGGCCCACCTCCTACCTCCAACCCAACGCCTCTTACTTTCACACTTTCTTCAAGGGTCAGCTGAAGCCTCGGCTCCTCCTTGAAGCCCTACTCCTCTCCCTCTCTTCTGGAAGATTCCGAAGCAAGCAAATCCAGATCCTCTCTCTATGATCCTTTCTGGAGATTACCAGGTAATTAATTCCACCAACATTTCCTTTGCTGAGATATTCTCCACCCACTGGCCCCCGTTATCTTCTTACTGAGGTGCTGTATGTAGTCTGCCTACCTGGTTAGCATGACAGATATATCAGCAGCAGGAAAGTGTGTGGGCCTGCCAACTAGTCAGCAAGAGCTGGGGGAGGCTACCTCCTCTGCTTCCTCCTTCCAGGCAGTGGAAGGGATGGGGATGGCGTGGGTTGTGTTGGCTCTGCAGCTACAAGGTCTTAGGTGCAAGGTCTCTGCTGTAGCTGCTGATTCTGCTGCTGCATTGGGTTATCCCGCTGGAGCATCCAGGATCACAGGCTGCCTGTCATCTCTGTTGCAGTCTCTCCTGAGCACTCAGCTACAAGTCCTGGCCAGGTCCTCAGCAGGGTCTCACAGGGAGCAGCTGAGCACGCCATCAGGAACCTGAACCTGGAATCTGTTACATCTGACTGGAATCACTGTTTCCTCATCCAGAAAAGGAAGTAACCATAGTACCTATTTCACTGAGCTATTCACGGGAACAAGCTGTTAAAGCAGATAGTACCTGACAAATAATAATGTTGGCTATTACTAGCTAATATTCTTTTAATGGAAGAGGAGGAGGAAATGGCCAGTCACCTGTAGATGAAAGACTACCTGATTTGTGTGAATCCTGAAGTGGGAAGTTTTTCTGTCTCTGAGTTTGGTTCCTATTGCTAGGGGCAGTTCTGCTCTCCCCCTCAACCCAGTCACTCTAGGGTTTTCCTGCTACACTGTGTCATCTCCTGAAGAGGCCAGTGATGGCCAAATTGTGGGTGTGTGGCAGGGAGGGGGAGGGGGGAAGAAGGGGAGGATCGAGGAACCAACAACTTTAATTACCACCCTGACCGTCTAGTTTATTGTTTTGAACATGTTAATCTCTCAAGCCTCTCTGTACTTTTTGAAGCAAATAATTTTTCTTTTTGTTGTTGTTGGTCGTGGGGCCTGAACTCTGGGCCTGAGCGCTGTCCCTCAGCTCTGCAGCTCAAGGCTAGCACTCCACCACTTAAGCCACAGCGCCACTTCCAACTTTTTCTGCTTATGTGGTGCTAACGAGTCAAATCCAGGGGCTCATGCATGCAAGGCAAGCACTCTACCACTGAGCCACCTTCCCAGCCCAGTAATTTTTCTTTGTGCTAATGCTGGAGCTTGAACTCAGAGCCTCTTGCTCATACTCAGCTTTTTTAAACTCACATCTTAAACCATAGCTCCACCTTTAACTCTTGGGGTGGTTAATTGAAAATAAGAATCTTACAGACTGTCTGCCAGGCTGGCTTCAAACTGTCATCTTTAGAAAGAGTAGCTAGGGTTACAGGTATGAACCACCAGCACTCAGGTGAGACAAACAATTCTGTCCTGTGCATTTTCCTTCTCTGCCAATAATCCCTAATAGTTCTCTAGATACTGGCTGTGTGATACATTTGAAAGCAGGAGAACCCAAAGGAGTGAGTCATCTCATTACCTAATGTCCATAAGATCAGAAGTAGCAGTGAAGGGATCCTATTAACCTTGGCTTGTGGATTTAGATAAATTGGGATAGTGATAACTAGTAGAACTTCCAGCTCTAGCCTCTATCTACTCCAGAAGGTTTAGAGTCAGACCAAATAACTTTATTTGGGAGCAGACAGAGGAGAACCCAGCCAGTGCTAATAAAGATACATGTTTATCCCTCGGTTTTCGTTCTAGAGTAGTACACTGGAGCCTAGAGTCTGTAGTAATTAAAAAAAAAAAAAGGAAACAAGGATCATGAAAGCATTATCGCCAGGCTGCAGGAACACACGGTCGTGCACTGGCTCTCCATGGCCACTCTTTCTGTACCAAAAAGGGAGGTGTTACAGGTGACATCTCTTGAGTCCCTCTGACATTTAGAATCTTTGTTGGCAAAATGCTTTTAGGTTAGCATCCAGTCTGCACTGCCCTTGAAAAGACTGCATGAGTAATAAATGAGCTAACCTATTCTATTTTCCATAAAGAACTCTAAATTACTCCCACTTCCCTGAACAAAATATCTGTATTCCCACCCACACCCTGGGCTACCTGCTGCCGAGGCTGCAACCCTGCCAAGCTCCACTTCAACACTGCTGCATCAGAGCCTGGGGCTTCAGGCTCCTCCCTGAGTCCACTCAGGTCCTCCAGACCATGTGCTGATACAGAAAAAGGCATAGTAATGAGGCCAGGAGTCCCTGGCTAGATGGGTTGAAATGCCATGGGCTGACTGCAATCCGCTGCCCTCCAAGAAAAGAATTCAGACATTAACTGCTTTGCTGCAAGCGAGTTGTCAGCCAACAGCAGGGCCGTCCAGCCCCCTCCTGCCACCCATGCCACATTCCAGCCTGAAACGCCCTCCCTTCTTCTAGGCACCTGACGATCCTACCATCTTTCCACACTTAGCCTGAACTCCCCCCTCCCACCAATCCCCCCCCCCCCATCTATTCCTTCAGAATGAATGTACTGAGCACTTAGTGCATTCCAGGTGGGCTAGGGAGCATGCACAAATGAACAAGCTCCCAGTCTACCACACTTCCTGCCCATTCACACAGTCAGTGAGAGGTCAAGGTCGCACCGAATCCCCACTGCTCTAAGTGCAATTTAGGTTGTTCTTATTTCCCCAATGGGTTCCCAAGCTCCCAGGAGGGGGCCAGGACACTTTAGCTTCCTCATGCATAGCCTTCCTGTCAACGCCTTGCACACACTCAATGCCTGACAAACTCAGATGCCTTGCTGATTGTTTCTCAGCTGCCTAACTCACAGGGGCCAAGGTCAGACGTCTTGTCATTGGAACCCTGCCCTGGTGCTCCTGGCTGACACCTTTCTTCTCCAGGGCTCCAGCCTCACGCATTCCCCTATCCTGTGGCTTGTTCTGGAGCAACAATGGCTTTTTGGCATCAAATAGGAACATATATCTCATTGTTGAAGATCATTTTTTGTTTGCTCCATAGGCTCTATCGGCCCCAAGATGTGCCCAAATGAGAAGCTGAAAGACAGGAGAGGTTTGGCTCAATAGGATACTGGGCTATAGCCTTCTTGTTCAGAGAGAATAAAATCACCCCATCTCTTTTGTCCCATGAGTATTAGGAGAACAGAAAATAAAGGAAGCTGACTTCTGCCCCCCCCCCCATTTCCCAAGTTCCCCCCCCCTGCCCGCGGCTCCTTGTACTCTGGAGGAGCTGTGGTCTTGCCAGGAGAAGACTTCGAGGTGAGAGGTGGGAGCAGCATGAGAGATGTCCTGTGCTGGGCCTTTGGCTGAGGAGGTGAGGCCAAAGACAGCTGCTCTGCTGTAGACTTGGCACACTTGGAATGCCACCATCCAGGGCATGGGCCAAGTCCATTTGGAGGCCTTTGTCCCTCTATGGGCAGCCCTACCAAGCACAGAGGCAGAACTGGTGGTGGTAATGATTTAGAAAGCAGAAGCTGAGAACTCCACTTGGGAACACAGAGTTTTAAATGGCCCGTTTTTCTCTCCTCTCTCTCTCTCTCTCTCTCTCTCTCTCTCTCTCTCTCTCTCTCTCTCTCTCTCCTCCCTTTCCCTCCCTCCCTCTCTCTCCCTCTCCCTCTCCCTCTCCCTCTCCCTCTAGAGCTGAGCTCAGGATCTGGCAAGTTAGGAGAAGACCTCTGGGGCTAAAGAAACAAGGAGGCAAGTAAGTGCTCAGGACAGATGAAAAGATGCTCACTCCCTGTGCATGGGAGAGGCAGACTGAACACAGGGTTACGGCAAAGGGAAGCAAACCAATCAATGAGCATCTTTTTAGAGTTGCTAAGGAGCCCTTTGCTGGCTTGCAGGGGAGGCAGAGTAGGTGAGCAGAGACTAGTACACAAAGACAGAAGTCCTAGGCTAGAGTAAGGTTGGGCTTTCTCATGGAATGAGGAAGAGAGAAGGACTAGCAAGCTGAGACAAACTCACAGCTAGCCAGCAAGGTCCAGGCTGGCCACAGCTACACAGCACCACAACACTGTCTCTTTCCAAAGACTACCTGGTATCTGCCAACAGGAGAGCCACCTGGCCTGGTTGCACATTTTCCTCCCTTCAAGAGCCAGGAATGCGCCACCTCTGTCCCTCTGATTCCCTGACCACACCAACTATGCTCTGCAGGACAGCCACATATTTCCAAACTGCTGATGGCCTCCTATCACTTGGCAACTGGCCACAGGCAGACTGAGTAACTATTACCTTACATTTCTTGTTTTCTTTAAAAGCTTCAGCTGTAAGGAGAAGAAATCCTAATTTGGGAACAATCATGAAATGTTTCCATTTTCCAGGGCAATCCATACTCTGGATTTGTAATTGGGGGAAAGAAAACCCCAAGAAGAATCTCAGGACATAGTTAAGTGAACTCATACAGCTTGAAACTGAACACAAACATCTCAGCAAACTTTGTGTTTCCCTTGGCCCTTACACGTGACAGGACTAGGTGATCACCCACCCTTGCTCAGCACATCATCCACCTCTATCTCCATCCTGGGCCCATTTTCAGGGAAGAACTTAGCAGTGTCTGCAAACCTGACCACATCCTCTGGACCTGACTCAAGGGTAGCCACTATCCAGTTTAGGGACATGGGTTCTTCTATACCACAGAACATAAAAAGGGAGGCCAAATAAAAGTTAAATGTGTGCTTGAAATCATATAACCATGCATTTTGTACATTTCCTGCAAAAATAATAGTGGTGTTTGGCTTGGCCCTCCAGGGTGCAATGACAAAAGGTAAAAGAGGTGTCTAGCTGCCTGCCATGGCTGGGTTTGATAGGACATAGATTTGAGATGACCCTGTAGTGTATACTCAGAGATGGGGTGTAGGGACTGCTTTTTTTCCTTGGGTCCTATCAGACTTTCATACCACCTGCAGCAAGTCCCCTCCGATCTGACAGCACTGTCCTCTGTCCTCTGACTGCTGCACCTAGCAGACATCAGTCCTCTGAGTCAGACTTGCCAGCACACAGGAATAAAGGCTTCCTTGGGTCTCTCCCATATAGGCCTGTCTTCCCCAGCAGCTGGAGAGCAAAGTGGTTGATTTCACCCTCAATTCTCCCAAGGATTTCAGAGGTTGGTCTCTGATGCTTACTTAGTCTGGACAGCCCTTCCCCTAACACCCACATGGGCCCAGTTTTACCTGGTAGTTTAATAGTTAAACATGAACAAGACAAAATTAGTAACAGCCCTGAGTCAAGGCCTCAGCTGTAATTTCACCAGATGCCTCTGATTATGTGCGTGTGCGTGTGCGTGTGCGTGTGTGTGTGTGTGTGTGTGTGTGTGCGCGCGCGCGTGCATGCACCAATCCTGGGGCTTGAACTCAGAACCTGGGTGCTGTCCCTGAAGTTTTTTTCCCTCAAGGCTAGCTCTCTGCCACTTGAGCCACAGCTCCAGTTCTGGCTTTTTGGCTGTCAATCGGACTTTCCTATCCAGGTTGGCTTTGAACCTCAATCCTCAGATCTCAGTCTCTAGTGTAGCTAGAATTACAGGAGCCACCAGCACCGAAATTTTTTTAAGTCCCTGTGGATTTTAGTCTAACTGGCAAATGATGATGTGGAGTCTGACCCTTTATCTATTGGGGGAGGGGCTCCCACGAGGCCCTGGTGGGATGTGGGCTGGTGGGGGGGGCACACAGACCCCCGCCTCCCCACCCTCCTGAGACTACAGCACACATACAGCTTTTCTCTTCATTCAACCTTGGCCCAGCCACAGCCTCTGTAAGAGCCAAGGAGTCAGGCTGCTGTCTGTCTCTGCAGATCACTCAGAACAGTGGCAGGCTGAAGGCCCACACTGGCAGGAGTGAAGTGGAAGGGAATCTTCCTAAAGACAGGGAAAAAAATAATCTAACCCCTTACCTATTCATGGAAGCCGTCAGAAGCCCCAGTTCTGGGGCTGCTGTTACCACCGAGAATTTCCCACCCTCACCGGAACCAGCCCAGTACAGGAGCTTGCTTCCATTACTAACCATTCCTTTCCCCTCCAAGAGGTCAACAAACACCTGGTTTCACAATTAGCATCCCTCCTCTGACTAGAAAAGACAGGGTATGAGAAGCCCAGCGTATCTATCTACCGGCCCTGTGGGCAGCTTACCCACTGCCCCAGGCCCTGCCACCTGGTGCTCTCTGAGCTCTCTGGAGTACAGAGGATTCCCCGTGAGTTAGAAAGCCTGGCTTCCCCCGCCCTGAGTTATCTCAGCCCCACCTGGCCCAGAAGCCACAACACAGAACAGCCTTAGAGCCAGGAAGATCCAAACAGGCTGTTTGTGGGTTCTCACAATGAGACTAGGCTCTGCCTGGTGAGACAGAAGCAGAAGAAAAGAATTTCGATTGGCACCTAAGGCAGAGGCTCACACTGTCTCTGGGAGGCCTTGGCTCAGGCCAGGCTAAGCTGTGCCAGAAGTATTCTGAGAAGGATGCTCCAGAAGTCTCTATAGAGCTTCTGAGTTCACTTGTTCATGGGTGTTAAGGTAGGAAGGGGTTTTTGTAGGACTTATGCAAATCTTTGCTCCTTTCTGAACTACAGTTGCTTAATCTGTAAGATGAAAGGATTGGACTAGATCTGTGGGTCTCAACCCTGTCTGGACAGGAGAACCACCTGGAGATGATGCAATCCTGAGCTTGTGACATTGACGGTGACTTCAAAACAACCCAGGAGGCCAGTGGGGAAGGTGCCACAACAGAGCTGGCCAAAGGTTGAAAGTTAAGTGGATGATAGGTAACCTGGGGTAAGGTATATTCTGTTCACTCAGATTTTCCAAACAAAAGTAAAGCCAGGTGCCAGCAGCTCAGACCTGTAATCCTGGCTACTCAAAAGACTAAGATCTGAGGATCATGGTTAGAAGTCAGCCTGGGTAGAAAAGTCTGTGAGACTCTTCTCTCCAATTAACTACAAAAAGCCAGAAGTGGAGCTGTGACTAAAGTGGTAAAAAGCTAACCTTGATCACAAATGCTCAGGGACAGTGCCTAGGCCCAGAGTTCAAGTCCCAGGACCACAAAAAACACCACAGATCCTCTAAAACTAGTTATGCCTGGATTTCACTTGGAACCTGTTAGAATTCAAAGGTGGCTATCTCGGCTATCAAGATCCTCAGGCAACTCTAGATGGTAGTCAGGACTGAGAAACTGAGCCCTCCATGGGATCAGTTGAGCCACCCACACTTCGCTCCAAACAGCCAGTCACACTCAGGTCACTGGCTTCAACTTTGTCTGTCATCCTTCGTCTCAAAGGGAGCTAATGATAGGGGTCAGGGTGCAGTCCTGCTACTGCACATGGAGCAGGGAGCTGCCTAAACCTGGGGCTTCTGGTGATCCAATAGTGGACCCTTTGAGTAGCCTGCTCCCCAGGGCTCAGAAAGGACTGGGGCTTACATGTTCCAGATGCATCACAAAGTTCTAGACAGGACCACCCCCACTCACCCCAACAAAAAAACTTGAAGGTGAGCCTCATTTTCCATTTCCTCTTGTAGTTCAGTCATGGGGCCTCACTCCTCCCTGGAACATAGCAAGGCACGTCCACAATGCTGTTGTTTAAAACTCCCCAGCCGACACTGAACATTCCTGGACTGCTTGCCAACTTCTGATGCATTTCAGCATCTGGGACCAGCAAGCAGTAAGCAGGCTCAGCCTGGATTTCCACTCAGGATGCTCAGCTTCCTGGGGCCCCTCCAGAGGTTCCTGCCTTCCACCCAGTACATCAGCCCAGCCCTTCCCCCACCTCTGTGCCCTCCACCATGCCATCCTACTGGCAGGGATTGCCTTCCCTTTCCCCATAAGTGGAGGCATTTGTTTCCCCAAACTTCAGGGAATATTTCCCAGAAGCTTCCCTCTTTCTCCAATCCTTTGTCCTTCATAAATGACAAATGCAGAGCAGTGAGGGTCCCTCCTTCCTTGGCCCTTGCTGAGATCCAGAAACTGTGGCCTGGCCACTTTTCCTGCAGATATTCCTGCTGCCTTTTTCTAGCATTTTTTTTGGGGGGGGAGGAGGGGTTCTCTATAGCCCAAAGTGGATGGGTTAAATGTGTGGAGGGTGCTTTTCTTCCCCCTGATTTGTCTTCACAAGCCACAGGTAGGGCAGATTAGAATGAGAAGTCACAGGGACAGACATCCGGCTGATGTTCTACACACACCAGGATTGATTCGTGACTGACTTGAAGGTCACAGGGGGTCCTGTGACCCCTGTGCGCCAGGATGGGGTCCTGAGATGCGGATCTCATGGCTCTTCCCGCGCTACAGTGATCTTCACTCATGGCTGAAACCCCCAGGGCTGAAGGAAGTCTAGGAGGCTCAAGAGTAGTGTGGGCACAGTGAGAACAAAGGAGGAAACCCTGAGGAGAGGAACACAGAGGCACAAGGTCCGTGTGCTTCTGTCCGTATTAAATAATGTTTACGAAAATGAACTCCAGGAAATGGAAATGCGTTTTTTTTCCCTCTGTTCCTGTTTTCACTTTCCTTTCCATTTGTCTTGTTTGTTCTTTTATCTGTCTTTGGGAGAGTAAGAAGATGCACAGAATTGGTAGGACAAAGGGTGAGCAAATGCAGCTGTGGGACTCACTAGACACTATTTGAAAACAAACTATCCAACTTGTGGGTAATGATGGGAGGGAAAAATGGAGAGAGGAAGGGAAGGGATGACATTGTTCAAAAAGAAATGTACTCTGTCTGACCTAGGTAACTATAACCCTTCTGTACATCACCTTTATAATAATAAAAAATGCATAAAGAAAAGAGAGTGCTGTAGGTGTTTATGGGGAATGCATATGGAGCAGAAAGCAGGGAGCAGACGTCTGTGAAGACAGGGGCAGAGCTGAAGGAGGGATCATTCAACCACCAACTGAAAACACTTCGAAACAGCCTTTAGAGACCTCCAACTTCAATGTCCAGTTGCTAGAGTCTCCGCTTCTATAGCAACTATCAGGACTGGTACTCCTGATGCTCACAGTCAGGGGAAAACAGACCATCTGCACAGGGGAGGGGTGGAAGGAGCTAGGACTTAGAATAGGAATCATCTTGGCTCTTGTCCCAGATAAGTGGTTCTCAACAAAGTTGTTTACCTATCATGCTCCAGGCCACTCACTGGATGTCAAGTGAAAGCATGAGGCTGATTCCAAGTGATGGTTGTACTGTCTGTTGCTTTTGAGACAAGGTCTTGCTACGTAGCCCAGGCTGACTTCAAATGCACAGTCCTCCTGCCTCAGCCTCTGAAGGTGCTGAGATTGCAGGCATGCTCAGCTTTGTTCTGAGGTTTCCTTCAGTTGCATTGTGAAGAGAGTGGGCTCAAGGCCTATTCTAATAGATAAGTCTGGACCACTCCACTAGTCAGGGAGGACCTATTGGCCTTCACGGAGCCTGTACAGCAGCCCCATGTGGAGATGGGGGACTGACACAGAGGAGGAAGAGCCCCAGATGACAGGAGCCATGCCTCTGTCCAGGTCTCTGCTGTCCCACTCACCTCTCCCCTCTCTGACCTGGTCAGTTCATATCAACTCTCAACCATGCAGAGGCTTATTTCAACATGTTGGTACACCAGCAGGCAGAATTCAGGGCCTGTGTCCTGGAAATTGCAGGAGATCAACAAGTAAGAGACACCTAACAGCAACCAAGAGGCTAGATGGACACCGCGACTCAGTTCATCTGGGGGAAATTCTGCTTGTCAATTTTGACTCTGAATCTCATTTTGTCTCACTATGTCTGGGTCTTCTGTCCATCCTCTACGGTCAAAAACACATCTTTTAAGAACTCCTTCCTCCTCTACAGCCTCATGAGCCACTGTAGTGCCATTCCCTACACTATAAGGAAAAGTCGGTCCCATTGTTGTTCTACAGAGTGTGTGGCACATACAAATGTTCATCACACTCAAGATAAAAATGAAGGAAAACTGGTCATCAGTGCAAAAGGCATGGAAATTTCATATGACTTACTGCTTTCGATAAACCAGGGTTATAATGCATTACTGATTGCTAGAATCTGTTAATCATTCAGTAAATAACATACCACTTTTTCCAGCTCTAAGAAACCATTCACAAGTTAGTATTGAGTGATAGCTAAAGGAGCACCACAGAATGGGAAAGGATGATACTGGGCACCTCAATCTTCCAATCCACAGAGTCTCTCTCAGACCACAGAGGTGAATGGAATGAACAAGGCCACAGTCCTTGAACAGAGCTGGTAATTGCTACGGAATCATGACCTAAGAATGCAGGAATTCCACTAAGAGTGCTCGTAGGGGCAAAACCTAGTTCATACCTGGGTATGAGGTAGCCTCTGTCAGTAAGTTTTGAAATGTAATGATGCCCTCTGTAACCAACAGGGAGGGATTATCTGTAACTCATACCAAGAAGAGCTTTACTTCAGCAAGAACCCTGACCAGAAAATAGGAGACCATCGGAACAACATGAAATGTTGTTTTGGGGTAAATGTGATAAAAAAAATAAGTGAGGTGGATGGAAAAGAAAAAAAAAAAATCAATGAGGATACAACATGCTCTCCTTTGCAGGGAGTGCCCAGACCTAGCAACTGGCTTTTAGGAGAGGGGGCACAGCAGCATAATATTTAATTTTTTAAAAAGACAGTGGTAAAGTGCTTGCCTTTTCATGCATGAGGCTCTGGGTTCGATTCCTCAGCTCTACACAAGCAGAAAAAGCCAGAAGTGGCACTGTGGCTCAAGTGGTAGAGCGCTAGTCTTGAGCTGAAGAACTGAGGGGCAGCGCCCAGGCCCTGAGTTCAGGCCCCTCAATTGACCTCCCCCCCCAAAAAAGACAGTAGAGAGTTTGTAGATAAAAGCAATCAATGAACCAGGTGCCAGTGGCTCATCTCTGTCATTCTAGCTACTCAGAAGATTGAGATCTGAGGATTGTGGTTCAAAGCCAGCCCAGGCAGGAAAGTCCAGCAAAAAGCCAGAAGTGGAACTATGGCTCAAGTGCTAGTAACCCTGAGCAAAAATCTCAGAGCCCCTTCCTTCACCTCTGGTGAAGTCCAAGATCATCAAAAAGAGCAGCAAGAAGTTCATCCGCCAGCAGTCCGACCGATATGTCAAGATTAAGCGAAACTGGCGGAAACGCAGGGGCATTGACAACAGCGGGCGGAGGAGATTCAAGGGCCAGATCTTGATGCCCACTATTGGTTATGGGAGCAACAAGGAAACAAAGCACATGCTGTCCAGTGGATTCCGGAAGTTCCTGGTCCACAATGTCAAGGAGCTGGGAGTGCTGCTCATGTGCAACAAGTGTCACTGCGCTGAGATCGCCTGCAATGTTTCCGCCAAGAACCGAAAATCCATCGTGGAAAGAGCAGGCCGGCTGGCCATCAGAGTCACCAATCCCAATGCCAGGCTGCGCAGTGAGGAAAACAAATAGATGGCTCACATCCGCCCTTTATTTGTGCTTAAATAAACCACAGACACTGCTAAAAACAAAACAACTCAGAGACAGTACCCAGGCTATGAATTCAAGCTCCAGAACAGTACAAAAAGAGAAAAAGCAATCAAATGGGCCTAGGACATGAAGAAACATGGGAAGCTGTGGGAAGTGGGAATGTGATGGCAGAAAAACCTTGAAGTTTAATGACCACCCATGATACCAGCAGTCTTACTCTGGCAGGCATTTGCCCCATGCCTCATTTCAAACACTAAATTGCAGCATGGAAAGGAAGAAAAACTCGCCTACTCATGGAGTCTCAACATACTCATCTTTAAAACAGGAATAGCCACCATCTCTCCCCTGAGGGGTTGTAAGGACTAAATAAAATCACAGGGCTGACAGATGCTGAGACCAGAGGCAATGGGGCTGAGCCTGGTGAATGATGGGAAAATGTCCACATTCTACTGGGAAGACAGAGATATTGTTCATAACTCATCCCAACAGCACGAGCATCATCCCCCACTCCGCTGTTGCTGTTTTCTGGTTTTATGATTTGTTCTTGTTGCTTTACTTACTTTAGAAAGTGATTTCTTCAAGACCTGAGGAAAGTGTAGCACTCCAAATTGTTTACAGTAAGACAACATAGCAAATTTAAACAATGACATTTGGGCTGATTATGAGCATTCTCCTTTTCCCTGTCATTGGAAACTTATGCAGATGACTCGAAAATTAAATTAAGTATTACAGTTTAGTCTGTAAAAATAAATCAGCACATAAGACTCCACTGGCATTGTTTGATGTAATGGAAACTGTTAGTTTAAATTCTTACAAAAGTCCCTTGGTGCCACAGTCTGGAAAAACAGCTAAAGGAGAATGTTGAGCCTCCATAAAGAGAGCTGATCTAGAGACACAGTCAGGACAGCAGAAACCTGAGCTTTGCCTGAATACTCAGCACCCAGGACCCAGGTAGGCCTAAGGCAGGGGGCCTCAAGTCCACCAGCTTTGACTTGAAACCAGCCACCATGAGGAACTTCTAAAGATACCCCCTGCTAAATGGAAACCCACACAGATTTCAGTCATACATCAAGGAGCCACCAAGAATCATGCCATGGCTGCCTCTCTACAGCTACAGCAGAGGCCTTGAACTGGTGTGCTAGTGCAGCCCCAAGTGAAGGCCGGAGACCTCCTCAACCCAAACACACACATCATGCACAACCACTGCTACCTGAAACATGCTCCCTGCTGTCATCCAATTGAAATATCTCCCATGAGAGCTGCAAGACTCCAACTATCTTACAATTTTCAATTTAAAAAAAAAATCTATGAACAAGGGAAACACATGCTCCAAAAATAATGCTTCTAGGAATGTATGCAAGACAAATGAAAATGTTTGTCCAGACCAAGGATATACACAAGTGCTCGTAACAGCTTTATTCACCATCCATTGTGAGTCTAAGAGTTTATTTCAAAATCCAAAATGTAGCTGGGCATGATGGTGCACACCTGTAATCCCAGCTCTCAGGAGGCTGAGGCAAGTTAATCAAGAGTTCAAGGCAAGTCTGAGCTACATAACAAGACCTGTCTTAAACAAACCAAACAGTGGGGCTGGGGGTTTAGCCCAGCAGAAGGGCGCGCGCAAGGCCCTGGGTTCAGTCCTCAGCCCTGGGGGAAAAGAAAAAATCAGTTTCTCTTTGCACTATCTGTAGATTTCCATATCAGCACTGAGGTGGACTCTTCTGATTAGTATTGGGACACCTGGTCTCACAAATGTCTAGGGATGTCCAAAGCACTGCCTGAGCCTGGTTTTTGCAGAGATATATCAACCAGAAGTAGCAAGAGCCTTACCTGAAGGCCTCATGTCAGGTGGTGGTTTTCACTTTTTCTGGCCTTAGATCCAGACGCAGTGTTGGTCTGGTTACTAGAGTCAGCTTGCTGCTTCTAGGCCTTCACAGTGCGTCCACACTGTAGGTTATGTGAGACCCATGGTACAGATGAGAAAACCAAACCCACAGAGATACAGTTACTGTCCTAAAACCACGTAACTAATGAATTGTGGGCTGGGGCTGAGCCCCCATGATCTGGCTACATCTATTCAGTAACTGAGGCGGCCAATCACAGGTAGAATGAACTGACTTGCACTGATCTCTGAGCTGGACCAATTAGGAGCCTAAGAGGTTTGTGCCAAGAAAGCACATGCTCAGTTAGCCAGGCTGCATTTCCTGTCCTCTGGGGTAGGCTGTTCTAGGGGCAGGCTCAGCACAAGGCCACACCCACCAGCTGGCTAGAAGGCTCTCCTGCGATACAAAAATGGGTTTTAAAGTCTATCCTTAGCAGTGTGTGTGTGTGTGTGTGTGTGTGTGTGTACACGCGCACGTGCGGTAGTGGGGGCTTGAACTCAGGACTCTGTCCTCTCCATTAGTCCCCCCCAGGTTGGTCCTCTAGCACTTGAGCTATGTACCTCCACTACCAGATTTTTGGTGGTTAAACTGGTGCTGAGTCTCGTGGACATTTCTGCCCAGGCTGGCCTTGAACCTCAGTCCTTTTCTCTCTGCTTCCTAAGTAGCTAGGATCACAGTCTGGAGCCACCTGGGGCTGGCTCTCTCCTTAGCTCTTTACTAGCACTACCTGAATGACTGCGCACAGTATACAGTTAGCCTGAAAACCGAGGCCACAAAAAGCAAAGTGCTCGGCCATCATCTCCAAGTAATAAGTGGCAGTCAGAACTAACACCGAGAATTTTCTGACACTAGAACCAGGCCTTGATCTTTGACCTCTCTAAGGCTAGAAAAACGGGGGGGGGGGGGGGGGGGAGGGGAGGGGAGGGGAGAGGAGAAAACTTCAAGTAATGAAAGTCTTTTTTTTCTAGAATAGCCATTTGTGGGTACCATGACGCAGCAGTGGTGGCTCTGGAGGCTGCTGGGAGCAGCTGCTCAGATCAGGCTACAAACACGTGGGAAAGAGGCTAATTAGGCGAGCAAGGAGTTAATCCCATCGCTGGTTTCCCCCAGAATTCAGCAGCCAAAGCTCACTGCGGCTCACAGGCGATGGACTAAGAGCTGCGCCCAGGCCCGATGCTGCAGCCGCTCCCGCCCCACCTTCTGGAGACCGGCAGCGCTGGCACCTGGAACCAGGGCCCTTGGAAATCAGACTCCCGAGATGCGCAGTGGGAAACTCATTCTCACTCGAATAGTTCTCCGCGGTCGGGAAGTCCTTCCCTGAGCTCTGAGAGTCACAAAACTGCTGCCTCTGCCCCCAGGACCCGCAGCTGCTCCCGGGCTACGCCTCACCAGGCGCGCAGACGCACCCAAGCACACCCCGGCCTTCCCCGGGCCGAGGCCCGCGCTCCCTGCAGCCCCCGGACGCCCCTCTCCGCCCTCCACCGGTCCTCTCTCTGGCCGTCACGCCCAAACCTCCTTCTGCAGGGGCGGACGGTGAGGACACAGATGGCCGCGTGGCCGGACCACGCAGCTGCAGCACGCACAGCTGGAGCCGGCTGCGGGGCGTCGCGGACCGGCCCGCCGCGGCCGCGCGCGCGGATGCTGACCCCTGCTGGCCGCGCACGGGATCGCAGCGTGCGGTCTGCTCTAAGAAACTGCCGGGGACGCGGCGACCCAGGCCAGGACCCAGAGTCTGGGAAAGGCCTGGGCTGGGCTGTCCGACAGCGCAGCACCCACACTCCAGAGAGTGGGCCTGGAGGGGAGGTGGGAGAAGGCAAGGTCGGAGGCACTGGGTTGCAGAGGCCCTGAGCTCTAGTCGTGTCCCCTCTGCCACCCAAGAACAGGGCTGGCTGTGACAGCTCCTCCTGTTTCTAGAAAGGAGGTAAGAGCAAAGCAAAAGCTCTAGTAGCCCTCCAGAGCCTACCTGAGCCTCCAAAGACCCCTCCATCAGGCTTCTTCCTCAGCGCCAGCACACACCAGACCTAAGCTTGAAGCTCCACGTGTTGAACTGATGGGTACAGGTTGCGGTAGGCTGATTATGTAGGTCCTAATCCAGAAAACCTGTGGGGCTTTCCTTAAAATGCAAAACAGACAGCAGGTGTGATTAAGTGAAGGATTGTTAGAGGGTATCTTGTATTATTCAGGTGTGGGGGGGGGGGCTCTAGGTAATCACAGGAATCACTCATCAGAGGGAGGTAGAGGCAAAGGATTCATTTGAGGAGAAACCAAGTCATATCATGGAGAGAAGAGAGGGAAGGAGAGAGCGGGGAGGGAGAGAATTTTCTCTGTAGCCCCAAATCTCTGCTGACTGTGGTCTGATTTGGGCTCTGTGAAACTGATTTCAGACTTCAGATCCCCAAAACTGTAAGACAATGCAATGCCGGTTGTTTATAGCCAACCAAGTTTGTGATAATTATTTTGTGTGTATGTTAATTGTCTTAAGTTCTTTTTAAAATTATCTTTAAGTAATTGAACAGAGGTGTTTCAATGAATGTTAATTGGCAATAAAAGGGAACTAATTACTCTTTGTGTGTGACAGAGAGAGAGAGACAGAGAGACAGAGAGAGACAGAGAAAAGCAGGTCAAGTGAAGGCAACTGAATCCAAAAGACCACATCTTATATAACTCAGTTTATCAAGCAATGTTAAGAGACAAATTACAGAAATATTGCCCATACTCTGGGGCAGGGGATATAAGGAATTGGGGGTTTGGCTACAATAGATAGGGAAGGAAGATCTTTCTGGATTATGATGGCTGCACAATGTGTTTAAAACAGGCAAACTTTGTGATACAGAAATTACACAAGTTTCAATTCATTAGGATTTGCATGCCCCAGCATTCTGCACTTTAAG